TATTATAAGAACTTTATCTATATCCCCTTTATTGATTCCTTTCACCCACTTAAATACCTCTATCATATCTCCCCGCACTCTTCGTCTTTCTAGGGAATGCAAGTTCACTTTCTTTAATCTATCTTGATATGGAAGGTTTCTAAGCCCGGAATTATTTTCGTCATTCTTCGCTGCACCGACTCCAGTGAATTGATATCCATTCTATAATAAGGACACCAGAACTGAACAGCATAATCGAGGTGCGGCCTGACTAGCGCAAGATATAATTGGAATAAGACCTCTGCACTCTTATTACTTACACTTCTAGATATAAAACCTAATACTCAAACAGAGTATTTCGAACATTAACGTCCCGTTGACTGTCTAACAGTTCCCCTGACTGTCTGACCACCTCCTGACTGTTTGACGATCCCCCTGACTTTCTGACCGTCCCCCGAATGTCTGACTGTCCCCCTAACTGTCTAACCGTCCCCCTGACTGCTCACACACACACACACTCCTGAGCTTCATATCCGGGTCGTAATCTAAAAACCGTCTTAAATAACTTGATAAAATTCAGTTTACATATTAACTTGGAGGTAAGGAGGAGGAGCTGCTTGTTTAAATACGACCCACGGATATTATTATGTTTGTAGCGGGGGTATATATACAGCTCTCTGGGCCCCCGTTAACATGCAACCTAAACATCTGTGTCTGTCTGTCTTCTTAACGTCGTTTTTGCATGTTATATTTACTGATTTTTTTTCTCTGTATTTATGTCTCATTTTCCTGTTTTCTTGCGTGTTTTTTAAGTGTTTTTTTTTCAGTGAAATTTTTTTGTACACAATTTTCAAACTGTTTTATTTCTGTTTAAAGTAATTTATATTCCCAGCTGTAGTTAAGTACGGATAACAGCTCTTTTCACCTCTGTCATCATTATATATTTCTACGGTAATAATTTGCTCGAATTTTCAAATCATTATTATTATCCTCGGCACGGTCTGTCTGTCTGTATTTTATTTCCTTCTTTTTCTGGGTGATTTATTTCCGCTTTTCTTTGCACACTGTCACCGTTGTTGTTAGTAACTGTTGATGGAATTATTATTATTTTTATTATTATTATTATTATTATTATTATTATTAATATTATTATTATTATTATTATTATTGTATTATTATTATTATTATTATTATTATTATTATTATTATTATTATTATTATTATTATTATTGTTATTATTATTATTATTATTATTATTATTATTATTATTATTATTATTATTATTATTATTGTTGTTGTTAATATTATTATTATTATTATCATTATTATTATTAATAGTAGTAGTAGTAGTAGTAGTAGTAGTAGTAGTAGTAGTATTGTTTTTTTTGTTTTTTTTTTTTTTTTTTACTGTGGCCTCCAGCTCCCCAATAGCCACACCTTCGCCCCATTTATTTAGCCAATATTAAATATCTAATGCACTTAAAACTATCCTATCTGTGTTAAATTGGTTGAGCCGCAGATCTATACGTATTCAGTGACTGTACTCATGGTCGATATACTGGCAGTTGTCGGAGTAGGGGCAGAAGCTCTCGTTCCGGCGAAACAAAGCCGACCGAAGGAGAGAAGGACAGTCGACATCTCATCCAGGCTGTGACGCGCAACTACAGGCTGCTGCTTCTGTTCGGGAATCAGGCTCCGCGAGTCTGGCGTAGAAACATCTTGCCCAGGCCCATCCCACAGAAGGTTGTGAACACTAGAGGAGTGAAGCTGCCTTGATCAACGTTTTGAATTCCTCTCCCCCATATGCCTTCTCGCATCGTTCTCGTTCCTCCTATGCGCAGCATCGAGAGCTAGAGTTACGGTGACAAACGGCCATGGGATCAAAAATCGATGTCGAAAAGCTCGCTGTCCCCCGCGTCAGAATCCTCGAGCACTGACGTCCACGGGCTTCGTTAGATGTGTTTGAAGTCTGTTGGAAGATCTCGCCATCCAGTGGAAGGAGGGTCCGGTTCTACCATGACGTCCCGACAGATTTCCTTCAACATATATTTGCTGTGAGATCCGCCTCGTCATGCCTCATGCATATGAAGCCCCCCTTCTTACCAAACCATGGCGTAGTCGCCATCATAGGAATAGCCACACACACACGCATTGGGAGGGCAAACCATCTACTAGCCGCCATGCCTTAGAACGGCATCTGTAAATTCTTGTTTGTTAAGGCTGAAACCATTTGCCCTTATCGGTAACGTAATAGTTAGCAGTTCCGGCGCCACCTCCTGCGCTATAGCTACTTTTGTCCGTTTTTCTGGAACCAGCAATAGTTGCCACAACATGTCATTTTGGCAGTTCTGCCGATCTGTTGTAATGGACCTACGGATCTTAATGCTTCGCTGGTGTCACTTCCCCTGTTGCATTCTGGGCGATTACATAACGGTCAGTGATGAGGGCTGCGTGAGCTTAAGTGGTTTTGATGTTCAGAGTCAGCGATCTCCTCTGGATTAGTTAATTACATCCCTCCAGTCTTGGTGGAAGTGCAAGAAGTGTTCTTTTTGCTAGGAGTTAAGTCGTGGTGTTTCACTAGTTTGGGAATGAACTTGACTTGCAGTGCTTCTTCCAAAGGGTGGAGGAGAGGTCAGATCTCAGGGATGGTACGCATCAGGTAGTTCAACGATGTGACTCCATGCTGTGAATGCTGCAAAGGCGCATGGCTCTGTGTTAGCAATCTCCCGATGGAAGAGCATGGATTTCGCTAACCCACTCATTCACTTTTCCCCCCCTACATTGGGTCTTGAAGTCCGTAGTGCGTTACTGCGCCTAGATGTCTTTGGCCGTCGCCAGATTATTTTAACTCTTTCTGCGCCGAAAAAACCTCCACAGCCCGATCATAATACAGTCAGCACCGATGAGAAGGATTTGCTGGCGTTAGGGTGTACCCTATATGTGGACCTCCGCGCGATGTTGCAGGTCACCGCACGTGTATCTTTTTCCTGCTCCTGTGAGGTCATCGCCCATATACCACTGTTTGACCCCAGTTGTTTCATACTTTATTTCTTGTTGGAGCACTGATAGATTGCATACATTGCCATTGCAGGGTCCCCGTGTTGTTCCTCGGTCGACTGTAGGATGGTATCACCTCGGAGGCCTTGTTTATTTTACTATGCTGAGGTCTGAAGGATTCTATACGAATTTTCAACTTATACATCACCAAAGCTAGGACACTTGATCTTGATGTTGCAGTGCAGCCTTGCAGTTGAGTATGTTGAATGCGTTTGAGCATCCACCAGAAGAACGGCCTCCCACAATCACGCTTTCTTTCCAAATATAATCTCATGGCGTGAATGGCCGCCTCCCCCACCAACCTGGTGGCCTTGCTTTTGTGGAGTTCCTACTGCTGCCCTGACATCATCAGCACTACTACCTCCAGTATACACTTTCCGATGTGATCCGCCTCAGCACTTCCCCACCCCTATGGGTCCTACATCCTGGGTTCCTTTTCCAGAGGAATAAGGCAGCAGGCCGTCAGAGGCCTGGGAGGTGATGTTGGCTGAAGGATGGATGCAAGCTTCTTGCAAGGGTTGTTGTTATTATTGTTTTGTTGTTATTGTTCTTGTTCTTGTTGTTGTGCTTGTTTTGTTGTTGTTGTGTAAAGACAGTTACATGGCCTCCTGCTCCCTTGTTCACCATCTTTCCCATCCCTTCCCCCTCATGCCCTGTCCACTGCTCTTCCTCCTCCCTACATTTTTTTCACTGCCCTTTCCCCCCATTAGTCCCTGTTCTACTAGCAGTAAAAAGTGGTTCCTGTTGTAAGTCGAAAGTTGCGAATTCGTATTCAGGGAGTTGTTGGAGCTTCCAATAACTTGATGACATAAACCACTTACTCCTCAGGCTCTACGCCCTTGACTCTTCAGGCTTCTACGCCTTGACTCATGAGACATAAAGGCAAGCATGACCTTAGCATGCTTCCTGTTGGGTGCTGTAAACGCTTCTGCGCTTCACCTTACACAAGAGTGCCCAATAAATAATAAAAAAAACTGCCTTTCCTCCTCCCCTCAACATCCTTTCCTTCCTATTCATTCATCCCTCCTTCCCTTTCCAACCTTCCGTTTCTTTCTCCCTGCCTACATATCCTTCCTCCTTCTCCCTATCTGTGCCATTGTTGTTGGTGTAAAGTTTGGGGTGAGCTCTGAGCGTTGCCTGGGGAGGTCAGTACGTTCTGAGGCTTCAGTACGGTCTGGGAGGATCTGTGCGGTCTGGGGAGGATCAGGCTGGTCGGGAGGATCAGTGCAGTCTGGGGAGGATCAGTATGGTCTGGGGAGGATCAGTGCGGTCTGGGAGGATCAGTACGGTCTGGGGAGGATCAGTGCGGTCTGGGAGGATCAGTACGGTCTGGGAGGATCAGTACGGTCTGGGGAGGATCAGTACGGTCTGGGAGGATCAATTGCGGTCTGGGGAGGATCAGTACGGTCAGGAGGATCAGTACGGTCTGGGGAGGATCAGTACGGTCTGGGGAGGATCAGTACGGTCTGGGAGTTCAGTACGGTCTGGGGAGGATCAGTGCAGTCTGGGGAGGATCAGTACGGTCTGGGGAGGATCAGTGCGGTCGGAGGTTCAGTATGGTCTGGGGAGGATCAGTGCGGTCTGGGGAGGATCAGTGCGGTCTGGGAGGATCAGAGATGCAGTCTGGGGAGGTTCAGTACGCACTGGGAGGATTAGTACGGTCTGGGGAGGATCAGTCACGGTCTGGGGAGGATCAGTACGGTCTGGGAGGATCAGTACGGTCTGGGGAGGATTAGTACGGTCTGGGGAGGATCAGTACGGTCTGGGGAGGATCGAGTACGGTCTGGGGAGGATCAGTACGCACTGGGGAGGATTAGTACGGTCTGGGGAGGATCAGTACGGTCTGGGGAGGATCAGTACCGCACTGGGAGGATCAGTACGGTCTGGGGAGGATCAGTACGGTCTGGGGAGGATCAGTATGCAGTCTGGGGAGGATCAGTACGCACTGGGGAGGATGAATTGCGATGCGGGAGGATCAGTACGGTCTGGGGAGGATCAAGTGCAGTCTGGGAGGATCCAGGCACTGGGGAGGATTAAGTGCAGTTTTGGGAGGATCAATGCGTTCTGGGGAGGATCAGTACGTTCTAGGGAGGATCAGTGCGGCCTGGGGAAGATCAGTACGGTCTGGGGAGGATCAGTATGGACTGGGGAGGCTCAGTACGATCTGGGGAGGATCAGTACGGTCTGGGAGGATCAGTACGGTCTGGGGAGGACTAGCACGGTCTGGGAGGATCAGTACGCACTGGGAGGATCAGTACGGTCTGGGAGGATCAGTACGGTCTGGGGAGGATCAGTACGGTCTGGGAGGATCAGCATCACTGGGGAGGATCAGAGACGTCTGGGGAGGACTGGTGACGGCTCGGGGAGGACTACGGTCTGGGGAGGACCAGTGCGGTCTGGGAGGAGACTGGGCACGTCCTGGGAGGATCAGTACGGACTGGGAGGACTACGGTCTGGGGAGGATCAGTGCGGGGGAGGATCAGTACGGTCTGGGGAGGATCAGTACGGTCGGGGAGGATCATACGGACTGGGGAGGATCAGTACGGCTTGGGGAGGACAGTGCCAGCTCTGGGGAGGACTGTACGGTCTGGGGAGGATCAGTACGCACTGGGGAGGATCAGTACGGTCTGGAGGATCAGTACGCACTGGGAGGATCAGTACGGTCTGGGGAGGATCAGTACGGTCTGGGAGGATCAGTGCGGCCTGGGGAGGATCAGCATGGTCGAGGATTAGCAGGCCTGGGGAGACTATACGGTCTTGGGAGGACTGGGCACCTGGGGGAGAATCAGTACGGTCTGGGGAGGATCAGCACGTCTGGGGAGGATCAGTGCGGCTCTGGGGAGGATCAGTGCGGTTTGGGAGGATCAGTACGCACTGGGGAGGATTAGCGGTCTGGGAGGACTAGACGGTCTGGGAGGATCAGTACGTCTGGGGAGGATCAGCACTGGGAGGATTAGGCTGTTCGGGAGGATCAGTACGGTCTGGGGAGGATCAGTACGGTCTGGGGAGGATCAGTACTACTGGGGAGGATTAGTAC